TTGACCCGTATACGATCCACTTAACTTGCTTATGATATTTTTAAATTTTAACCTATTAAATTCATTATCATATTTAAAAATAATTTTTTATACATAAAATGTATAGATTCTCTAAGATTCATAACTAAAATAACAAAAAATTAGTACAAAAATAAATTTTAGATAGAGTTTTAGTTGGACATTTATATTTGACACTAAAATTTTCTTTTCACTTTAAAATAAACAGTTACTCGCCTAACCCGCGTGTCATCGTGACATGATATGTTTATATTCGTGTCATAAATTGGTGATTCATTGATGACACGAACCCATTTAACCTCAATCTTAATCTTTTTATTTCGCGTGTTAGACGAATCGTGTTCGCGTAGCATGACCTATTTTCACACAAAATATGGTCGCGGGCTAATTTAGATGTAGAGTTCGGAAAAACTATCCAATACTCATCCAACTTGCTCACACCAAAGAGACATTTATGCAAACACATAACGAGCTTAAAAAATAAAGACAAGTGAGCTTAGAAGTAAGGAAGCACTAATTTTTGTCTATATAATCCTTAATTGAATGTAAATCTTAGTCTTTTATCATCATAATAAAATATATTTTTTTAATTCACTGAAAGCTTTTATGCGGCGAAATAATACCGTACGCTACACAATAAAGATAGCCCTTCTCTTAACTTACCAAATTGATAAAAAATAAATGTAGTCAAGATGACTCAAACTTGAGACCTCCTATTTCTCACTTATGTGATAAGACTAACCAGACCACCACCTAATTAACTCATAATAAAATATATTATAATTTTAATTTTAATATATTTATATATAATTTGGTCTTTTATGAAAATAGGGAATATTGGAATGGTGAAAAAAGTATAAGGTTAAATAATAATAATAAATTGTCTTATACTTTAATTAGCTAAAAAATAAATTAAGAAATTATTATTTTTATAGTAATATTTAATTTGATTGGTCATATATTTTCAGAAGATAATAAATGTTAAGATAAAAATAATTACATTTAAAATAACGTCCAGCAAAAAATTACAAGATAGCCAAACATATATTCTATAATTATAAATAGAAAAGGGAAAAAAATAAAAGAAAAATAGACTTATTGTGTTTAGCTGCTGCCATATGCAACTACTGTCTTGTCCAATATTCTATTTATCTTGCTCTTTAAAATTCCCATTAGACTTGCCGAGCAAAAATCTTATTTTGAAATTTTTTGATGTTGCCCCTAATAATTAATATGCATTATATTCTTATTTTTAAAATAAATATATACATTAACACAGGGGAGAATTACTATTTTATTATTATATTTTGTTAAAACTATTCAAACAAAAATTTAATTAAAATCATATTTTATATATACTTTATTAATAACATAATATCCAAGATTTATTTCTCAACGTCATTAAAGGACTTAAATTTTGTAGTAAATTTTTTAATAATGTTTAATATTTATTTATTAGTTAAAAAATAAAATATTATAAATACCTATATTAGCATAAATAGTAAAAAAAATATGAAATAATAAATCATGAAAGAAAAATAAAGGAATGAATATTATAAAATAAAATTTAATCTCAATATTAAAAAATTAACTGCTTAGTAACCAAACTAATATCAACTATTCTCTCACTAATTATTTCTCTCCTTTTACTAGTAATATATATAAAATTAGTGTTATGAAACCGAGAAAATGAAGATTTATATATATATAATTTGAATAATTAAAAACTTAAACAAACATAATAATGTATTCTATATATGTATATCATATTGTTAAAACATCTATCATGTTATGCAACTGAAATTATATTACATATACATGACATCTCATGGTCTTTTTAAAAATATTATTTAAGAAAATTAAAATTATATAAATAAAAAATAATTTTTATATTATTTACTCATAATTTTTTAAAATAATATTTATTTGGTTTTAGAATTTATATAATATAAAAGGTTCATATAGTATGAGTTTTACTACCTTTAAATAACAAATTAAGTTTGCAACAAGTTTCTACAGACAAATGTCAATATTCTGTATCAATATAGAATTACTGGGATCTATACATTAGTAAAAGTCTTTTTATAATGCCAAATTTACGTTGCTTTATAAGAATTGCATAATTTTAAAATTTCAATTAACTTTATAAATCTATCTTTAAAATATGTATATTTCTTTTTCTATTTTATTTAATCTACATTTTTTACTTAAAGTTCTAAATCATAATATTCTATGATATTTAAATCTAATTTTTTAATTATTTATCTCTAAAACGAAATTGATTATACATATTTTCATGTGAGATTATATAACTCTAGAGTATTTGATGATCTTATCTTTACTATTTATACGAATCTCAATGATATATTGTATATATTTTTTCAGTAAAGCATAAATTTAGAATTATATGTATACTTTTAAAGATAAAGAAAAATTATTTTAAAAAATGTAAAAGAAAAATAATAAAATAAAAAGCATATTTAATAAGCAATCAATATTATAGCAAATTGAGATATTGAGGTGTCACTTGAATAGAGTTTTATACCGACACAAAATTTGTTAATTCGGTACCGTAGTAGAAGCCGATATTTATTAAAGATAGATCTTTATCATATTTAAAGTATATCAATTTAGTATACAATATATTCTTTATTTTATCGAATTAAATTCTTATATTCTTATTATATGTATAGTTTCTTATTCTATCAAATTGATTTCTTATATTTTTTACCGTATTTAATATATATCTTATTTAACATATAATATAATTTATTAATTTGTCAATAAAATTTATATTTAAATAGGAAATTATTATATGTTATAAACATAAAACAAATATTTGTAAATTAATTCTTTTATTTTATTTTATTAACAAATAATAAGATTTCTAATTAAGTTAATATCCTTAACTAAATTAGAAATCTAAGATTTAGCATATCTATATCTATAGTAAATTTTTAATTACTTAATTCATTTTTTCCAATCAGATTAAAAAAAGCATTTCTTTTTTTTTTAATTAGGTAATACAACTAGGTTATGGCGATGATGCTAGTGGCGATGGTGGAGAAGTGGTGAGGTGCACTTTGCCTATGTGAGTTTGCAGTTGGGTCGTTATAAGGAAGAAAACAAAGATGGAGAATCGAGAACTGGGAAAGTCCTTTTCCCCTCCAACAACCTTTTATGCAAATTCTAAAAAAGAACGTAGTGTAGGATAATAGATGGCATTCTAGACATTTCGTAAGTACTTAAATGATGCTTTGGCTAAGAAAAAGAATGTAATGGAATTAACATTTATGGATATTTTTATTGTATTTAAAAAAAAAAAAAAAAAGGCAAAAACTGACTGGTAATTAGTAAATATAGGGATGTAATGGTAAATTTCCCTATTGAAATTCCTTAATGACCTTTCTACTTGTCACCCGTGACCTGCAATTCCATCAACTTTTTTGCTTTACAGCCTCTGTCCGGAAACGTCCAAACAGCCCGTGATAAAAAAAAAACCAACCTTTTTCACTTTCAATTGTCATTGGAAGAAAAAAAAAAAACCTCGTCTGTTCCACTATAAATACCCATTACTATGACAATGATTCCATATCACATAAAACCCACTAAATCCAGAATCACCAAATCCGGATTTTTCTCTAAATCCGGATTTTTTTCCGTTACAATGGCTTCTCTTGTCGTTCTTCTTCTTCTCTTCCTTTCCTCCTCCTCCTCCTCCTCCTCCGTCAACTCCAGCCATCACCACCGCTCAAAAAAAACACCACCAACCTTGGTCGCCACCCCGGCTGAGATCATCCAAGCTTGCAAAGCCACCAGATTCCCAGACATATGTCAATCATCTTTATCTAAATCCAATCATGTTCCTCCAAACCCTACTCCATTACAAATCATCCAGTCAGCAATTTATGTTTCCACCACCAATCTCAAAACCGCCCAATCAATGGTCAAGAGCATTCTAGATGATTCCGCCGGGAATGTAAATCGCACTGCCGCAGCTCAAATCTGCATAGAAGTGCTCGGTGATTCCGAGTACCGTATTTCATCGACGGATGAGGCTCTGCCACGTGGTAAGACTAAGGACGCTAGGGCTTGGTTGAGCGCTGCTTTGGCTTATCAGTACGATTGCTGGAGCGCTATAAAGTACGCAAATGACACGTCGGAGACTAGCAAAACGATGGCGTTTTTGAACGATTTAATTACGCTAACCAGCAACGCCTTAAGTATGGTCAGGTCATACGACATATACGGGGATAAGACCGGGTCGTGGGGCCCGCCGAAAACGGAGCGGGATGGATTTTGGGAAGGGTCCGGGTCAGGTGATTTGGGATTTAATGGTGGGTTTCCGGCGAAGTTAACGGCGGATGTGACGGTTTGTAAGGATGGCAGTCACGGGTGTTCCAAGACCATTCAGGAGGCTGTTAAAGCGGCGCCGGATAATCTGACAGGCAAAAAGTTTGTGGTGCATATAACGGCAGGCGTTTACGAGGAAACTGTTAGGATTCCGTTAACGAAGAAGAATGTTGTCTTTTTAGGAGATGGGATAGGCAAAACGGTAATTACAGGATCGTTGGTTTCCGGTAAAGGAGGAGTGACCACTTATACTTCACCCACAGTTGGTAAGTCAAGACTTTTACTTTATTTTATAACAATTTTATGCTAATTTTAGTTATTTCATTGCATTTTTTTCCTTGATTTTATTAATAGAAAAAAAATTAATTGTCCTCTATTTTCAATTCTGGTAAAAGAAAAATGCTCTGTTTTTAGATTAGACTCGAGTGGACCAATATGTCCATCTATCAATCAAAGCAATTGATTTTTAAAAATTATTTTCATTTTATTTTTTTCGGTCAAAAATATATATTCATTTAAAAAATTTTTTTATTAATTTAATTCTCGGTGACCTAAATAACTGTGTCTAGGTAAGGTAAAGAACGGTATTTGACAGAGCATTTAACAAATTAAGAAGAAAAGAAAAAAGAAGAACAGTATTTGACAATCAGCGTTGACAGAGTCATCTTTGGAAGCTTCGTCCTCCTTTCTCTTCTAGTACTTAGTACCCTTTCTTTTTTACTTCTTAGATTCTTTTCAGTTAGATCAATTAGTCTTCTCTTTACGTTTTATCACGTGAAACTCCATTTCTATTTATATGCTTATCTCCAAGCCCGTTATTCTTGAATCTCCATTGCTCTATCTTCACCAGCACCATGACTGCCCCTTCATCGTCAAAAATGTCATCAAAATTCAAATGCATACTCTTCACCGTCGTTGCTTCTCTCCTCCTTTTCTCTCTCATTGCTCTTATCCTCTTCTTCACTCTTCGACATAAAACAGACCATTCCCACTCTCCGATATCACCTTATAGCACAGAAGTACCAGTGGCTGAGATCCAATTAGCCTGCCAGGCCACACAACACCCACAAACTTGTCAATCCTCTCTAATTCAATCTGGTGCTGTTCCCCCAAATCCAACTCCACTTCAAATTATCCAATCTTCATTGGGGATCTCCTCTCAAAATCTAACCATTGCTCAATCAATGTTAAAATCCCTCCTAGAGTCTGCCGCAGGTAATCTAAACATCACTAACGTTGCCAAAAGTTGTTTGGAGATTCTGGGTTTGTCACAGTACCGAATTTCAGTATCGAATGATACTCTGATGAGTGGCAAGCTAAAGAATGTTCGAGCTTTGATGAGTGCGGCTTTGGCTTACCAATATGATTGCTATGGAGGACTGAGTTATCATGGAGGCAACACGCAGGCAATCAATGAAACGATGGCATTTCTTGACACTTTAATTGGGCTAAGTAGCAACGCTTTAAGTATGATTATCTCGTATGATTTATTCGGTAACGAAACCCGGTCGTGGCAACCGCCGAAAACGGAACGAGATGGGTTCTGGGAGGGTCCGGGGTTAAGTAGTGAAGTTGGGTTAGAAGGTGAGTTTCCGTCAAATCTAACAGCGGATGTAACGGTTTGTAAAGAGAGGATTAGTTGTTACAGAACGGTGCAGGAAGCTGTTAATGCAGCTCCCAACAACACGGTAGACCGTAGGTTTGTAATACATATAAAGGAGGGTGTTTATGAGGAGATCGTTAGAGTTCATTTTGAGAAGAGGAATGTGGTGTTTTTAGGCGATGGAATGGGAAAAACAGTTATTACCGGCTCATTGAATGTTGGTCAGCTTGGTGTCACTACTTATGAGTCTGCTACTGTTGGTAAGTGATATAATCTCATATTGACTACGGTTAGGTGAAAGAAAGAGCTCTCAGTTACTAAACTGAAAATTCTTAACAACACTTGCAGCCGGCGCGGTCCTTGAAATCCGGTGGCTCTGGAATTGGGATCAAGCTGGGGGGTTCGGGATTGTGCCGACCCTATCTACATTTAAAATATACCATTACCTCATATAACATGATATCTGATTAAAGTCAAGCTACAAAGAATCTGCTAGTGATTTTTAATGCATTATATAATGTATATGTTTACAGTCACATAAACCTAAGAGTTAGTGAAAGGCATTCTTCTTTTTTCTTTTTCATTATTTTAATACCCTCCATCACATGATCTGTATCCCAAACTGTGACATATCCCTATTCCATGCGAAGCCTAGCTGTATCGAACGACTGTGAAGGCTGATTTCAGAATTTCATTGCTTATCTTTTAAACTATTTGAACTTAAAGTTAAGTAGTTCATCCTGATCCTATAATTTGTTTTTCATTGACACCGGAAATTTTATGCTTCTTCCTCTGGCTTGCAATTTTTTTGAGAGGAGAATTTCATTAGCAGAACTTTACAATGGCTCATTTTTTTATTTGACTTGAAGGAATTTCAATGGTGAAAAAGAAATCAATTCCAATGTATTGTAAAGCTGTTGTAGATGTATTTCTCAGCCCGGTTTAATGCAGTTTTGATAAGTTTTATAATTTTGCTGTAGGTGTTCTTGGTGATGGATTCATGGCCAGCGGTATCACTTTTCAGAACACTGCAGGGCCTCCCACCCACCAAGCAGTGGCCTTTAGATCAGACAGTGATCTATCATTTATCGAGAACTGTGAGTTCATCGGCAATCAAGACACTTTGTATGCTCATTCACTTCGCCAATACTATAAATCATGCCGTATTCAAGGCAATGTGGATTTCATTTTCGGAAACTCAGCTGCTATTTTTCAAGATTGTGAAATCTTAGTCAGTCCCAGGCAAGAAAAGCCAGAAAAAGGCGAAAATAATGCAGTCACAGCACATGGCAGGATAGACCCTGCACAATCAACTGGTTTTGTGTTTCAAAATTGTTTGATCAATGGCACTCAGGAATACATGGCATTATACCGTAGCAACCCTCGTGTACACAAGAATTATTTGGGAAGGCCATGGAAGGAATATTCAAGAGTGGTTTTCATAAATTGTAACTTTGAAGCTCTTATAACACCACAAGGCTGGCTGCCTTGGGACGGTGATTTTGCTTTGAAAACGCTTTACTACGGGGAATTTAAGAACTCCGGACCAGGTTCTGATTTGTCTCAAAGAGTAACATGGAGTAGTCAAATTCCTGCTGAGCATGTAAATGCATATTCAGTGCAGAATTTCATTCAAGGAGATGACTGGATTCCTACATCTTAATTATTCAATATCAGTTATAATGATGTTGTATATTATAGATTAATAATAACATTATTTGCTTTTAAGCAATTATTTACAGTATTTATCACAAGTGGATTGAAATGGTTTTTGTTTTTTTATCAATTATAAAAATCATCTAAGTTTAAGGCTCCAAATAAAGAGATTGATTATAGGTTATGTTCCATAAGCCGTTAGCTATTCTAGTATCAGTTTAAAAGTTTAAATTAGAGGAGTAAATTTTTTTAGTTAAAAAGAAAAGAGAGAGAGAGAGAGAGAGAGAGAGACTTAAGTCAACAGGACAAGGGTAAAACAGGATGCATCATCCTATGCAAGAAAAGTTGAAGCATCATGACGTGACTTGCAGACAAAGTTGGCTTGAAAACAAAATGGGATTGCATGCTTCGGATGGGCTGAGGATAACTTGAGCTCAGCTTCTCAATGATGGCTCTTTGAAATGGCGTGCTTGCAGTTTCTAATTTCTCTACTTCTTCTCAATGTAATTCTTCTACTCTTTGGTTACCATTCATTGCAAGTGATAAGGTTACTTCTCCATAGGGGAATTTTGCAGTTCCAATCCTCAAATCTGGGATGTAACTTCATCACTTTAATTTGAATGTGATTGAATTAATATGAACTGAATAAATTAAATTTTTATATGCATATAAAAACTTAAAATTATATTACATTATTTATAGAAACTAACCGAATAGTCTAATTAATTAGAAGATTTTAGCTTTAACTTAATTTTTTTCATTAAATTAGTTTAGTTTTTAAAACTTTTGGCCCTTTCAATTTATATAATTAACACAGACTAACTCAAATGGTTCAATTTGATTTAGATGTTTTTCACCTTAGGTGTAAAATGGGATAATGGAGAGATCAACCAAATTAACTGATAGATTGTCTAAATATTTAATGATAATTAAGTGATGTTCAATTATTTTAATTACTGTTTCAAGTGGAATTAGGCTTTGAAAAATAAAATACAAAAGAAAACTCAAGTTTTCTAATAAATTTAAAATAATATATTGAAATGGCTTGTCACCATGTGACTGAACATCCATTTTTCACCTACATGGTGTGATTGCATGACTAAGTTTTGGATTAATTTCAAAATTAGTTTAACAAATTGATCAAAGAAGTCTAACCAAAGTCAACTAACGAAGCATTTTCTGACCCATGGGAAGATTTTTGATGCCGTTTCACATGGGGCAGGTAATTAAAACGGAGTCCTACTTCTATCATTTTCTTTATTATTTTTCTGAATATCGTTTTCAAGGCCACGTGAATGGTCAACCCACCACTGAAAAAAGGAACTTTCTAAGTATGTTACCCACTTCAATGCTTAAATATTACAAATTTGAAATGGTAGAGGGTGAATTGGGTAAAAAATGTAAAAATTTATGAGGTAAAAATGTGTAATGTGGGCTTATTTGGGTTTGATAAATTAATGTTAAAAAATTAGTATTAACCAATTAGCTAATTAGCTTGCGATCTTTAAAGCAACTCTAATGGGACTGTAGATTGTAACTTATTTAATTGTCATATCAAAAAGATTGAAAATTTTTAAAAAATATCTTCTCCAACACTGTTGTCCATTTAGTATGTGAAACTGATGGGTAAAAAAAAAAAAAAAGACACTGTGATGATCTCTGGATCTCTAATATCTCTAAACTCCTGTATTTTTTCAAAACATGATGCAAGTTAATTGCTCCGCTACTTCAATTGGTTTGTTACTAAATTGGATGACCTCTGGTTTGTCAATGAGTCTGCAATTCGTGAAAAGGTTATCTTGTTAATCAAACCAGAAATAAAACTAAAGGAACATGATGAAGATGATTGTTTAGCTATAACTTGTGGTATTTGTTTTGAATATTTTTCTGCTAAAGAAATTACCTCTTTCTGGTTGTGGCCATCCTTATTGTAAATAATGTTGGACTGGTTATATTAGCACATCTATTAATGATGATGGTCTAGCTTCTTTATCTCTAAGATGCTCTGAACCATCACTAGGTATGAGAAAGAAATTAAAAACTATAAATTACTGCTAATTATGACTATGGAAGCATCAATTTTTAATGCGATTTGCATTCGTGGTTGAATCTCAGTGCAAGCTACACAAAATTATGCGCTCTCAAAATCTATGGTGCCAGTGGTTAAATAAATGTTGGACTGGTATTATTAGCACATCTATTAAATGATGATGGTCTAAACTGCTTCTTTAAGTACTCATATATGTCAATGAGTCTGCAATTCGTGAAAAGGTTATCTTGTTAATCAAACCAGAAATAAAACTAAAGGAACATGATGAAGATGATTGTTTAGCTATAACTTGTGGTATTTGTTTTGAATATTTTTCTGCTAATGAAATTACTCTTCTGGTTGTGGCCATCCTTATTGTGAATAATGTTGGACTGGTTATATTAGCACATCTATTAATGATGATGGTCTAGCTTCTTTATCTCTAAGATGCTCTGAACCATCACTAGGTATGAGAAAGAAATTAAAAACTATAAATTACTGCTAATTATGACTATGGAAGCATCAATTTCAGTTTGATCATCAGTATTTGTAATATAACATTAACTGCTTATTTTTATCTCATGAATTCAAGTTTGTTGACATACCATGCCTACTGAATTTTTTTGGTAGATGTATTGAAAGTTTTCTTCTTTTTTTTTCCTAATCTCTACCCATTGATGTTGCTTTGATTGAGATACTTAATACATATATTAGTTTAATTTTCTAGCATTGTGTTTGTTCATAAAAATTGTTTTGGTTTACCTACTGCATGCATTAATTTTAATAGGATATTGTACCCTTTTTTGTTACTTTTATTTGGATTAAGACATCATTTGAAGAATAATAATTGCTAATGTTCGATGTGATGCTGTTTAATTTGGGGATCTTTACGCTGGCATAATTGCTTATTTTCCTTAAACAACAGTTTTATAATTCCATTATAGCCATATGGTGTTCATCTTGTATAGGTGTATATACTTTTTCTATGGATTTAGAAGATCTTAATAATCTTCCATGCTCCCAAGAGTCGCTGAATGTTTAACAGGCGAATAATTTCTCCCAACCTCCTACACTTACTAATTCTATGCCACGAGCTAATACGCCAATTCAAATCCCAAACCAATTTGCTCACTTTCCATTTCAACACAACTACACTTTCAATCCAATGAATATTCCATATCCTTCTTATGCTAATCATCAATTTGGATCTGGATACTCTTACCAAGATTTTGTAGATGATTTGAACAATCCATTTAACACTCAAACGTCTATTACATCCAAAGGATCCAAAAGAAAAATATGGTAACACAAAAGTCCAATAATTCTCAACCTTCACTTAGTAACAAAAATTGGACTAAACAAGAAGATGTTACATTGACAAAGGCATGGTTGTATATATGTCTCTGTTGATTCTAATATTGGCAATAATAAAAAAAGTACAGCTATGTGGGACCGTATTTTGCAATTATGGAGACATAATATGGGTGGGGAATATCATAATGCTCGAAACACTAATAGCCTAGGATGTCGTTGGGGAAAAATACAAGCTGCAGTGAACAAGTTCCATGGCTTCTATGAGAGACTAGAAAGACATCCACAAAGTAGAACAACCCCTGAAGATATGGTAAGTTTAATTTATTTATATTTCATACTTCTTAAATTATCAATTCTTTTTCTTTTCTTTATTTTTGTATGTATTAATATATGGTAAATTTTAACTCATATTAATCATTTTTCAGAATTTAGGTTAATGGATGCTGGTAAATATAGTTATAATAATATTAATTTGTGTTATTGTTTTTTTTTTGCATGCAATGTTTTTGTTTTTAAACAAATTGAAACTTGCTCACTCTTGTTTTGTAGAAACAAGAAACAATGCGAATGTATGAGGATGTTAACAATGGTCAAGTACTCAAATATGAACATTGCTGGGAGCTCATGGTAAAGAACCCAAAATGGTGTTCAAAGGGGCTTACAAAGACAAAGTCAAACAAGTTTAAATCAAATGTCATAAAAAAGCCACCTCCATTGGCTCCAACAAAACATGAGTCTTATTCTAATGAAGGGGATAGATGTACTATGAACAATACCGCCGCTAAAGGTATTAATGTTGAAGGGGCTATACGGCCAGAAGGAAGAAAAGTATATAAAGATAAAAAAAGGAGGTTGAATGATGAAAAGGTTGTGGTTGACGTTTTGAATAATTTGCAAAACACTCTTGACAAACAACCTAGTATATATCGAGAAGAGTTGAAGTTAAAAAAAGAAAAAGAAAAAAAGGAATTTGAATTGTGAGAGCAAATGATGGAGAAAGAGATAGAACTAAACAAGAAAGCTATAAAAGTAAAGCAACAAAATCTAATCATGAATCAAGATCTCAACAAGCTTTCACCAAGTGTGCAGGTGGCATATGAAATGTATCAAATTCAAATATTGAACGAGTGGGAAAATGATGGCCTCTTTCCAAAATGATTAATTTGATATCTTTTTGTTTTTTTTTTTTTTTTTACACTTGCTTATTGTCAATTTTTTTACACCAAGTTTTTAATCTATCTGAAATTACTACTTAATTTTTTTTATGGCTTATGTTTAGTAATATATGTATGTCTGGTTTTGTAGGGTCTTTTACTTACTTCTATTCATGACAAATTTGGGTACATAAGAGTCTTGATAACTTCATATGGAGCATTGACAGATTAATCATAAAGGGGATACATGGTTTTAATTTTTCATTTCGTATTACTGAATTTTAGATTCTTAAGCAATTCATAATATTTTTGCATTTATAAGCATTTCATTTTAGCATTGCTTATTTGGAGATTTGAGAATTTGTACGAGATGTAGCACCTATAGAAGTGTCTTTACTTGAAAGATCACCTTTCTTGGATTTTTAATTTTATTTGTGTTTCGTTTCAATTGCTAGTGAAATTGAACTTTTTGATTTGATTAGAGTGTTTTATTAGAGAGATGAGAACTTCATTTCATGTGCCTGCAATATATTTTCCATGATATCTGATATATGTTATCAGTTGTGTTATTATTTGATGATCTCACCTATTCATATATACT